CACTCAACACCAGCTAGCGCGGAAAGGAGATGGAAAAGCCGCTTTATCGCTTCTGTTTCATAATAGCCGTTAGATCACAATGTTGGAAAAGGCAGAATCGACTTATTGCCTTTGCTTATGCAAAATTTTGACAACTGGGAAAAAAAAATGTGACAAGAAAAAAATAAAATAAGCTAAAATTGAAATTCTTAGGAAGCAGCCCAAGCGCGTGAATCACAATCTTGGTTCAGCAATTATTATGGAGATATTGTTGAGTTAAGATCGCATTTTAATCCGAACCTAGACGACACTTTCTGAAGGATCGGCGACACTGAAAAATTGTCGGAGATCATTTTGTGCGTGTCTCGTTTGCTTACGTAAGAAAACTGGCTGTGTGCATCTGTGTCGCTTCGACGAACATTTCATGGGCCTAAAAATACATTATATGTCGTGGCGTTTATCTCCAAGCCGGGAGAGATATGGGGGTACACACTAGGATGATGCACTTGGACGATGCACGTGCTGCCTAACATATGCGCGCACGGCTCACGGAAATGGGTGACGACGCGAAGGCTGCATTCTCTCCCGATAATCGTTTGTTTGCTTTACAAATAAAGAAGAAAGAAAAGAAGACGGCATTTTTTTTTACTTTTAGTTTCGGCTATGGAATATTTTTTAATGTAGTTGACAATAGTTTACCGGTGGTGAGCAGAACATGTGTCTATATTTTTCTTAAAAAAAGCGCGTTCTTAACATTTTTTTCACCGTGAAGAATTGACATTGAAATACATTTTTTATTTCATTGAATTAATGTTTGCATTCGGAAAGACTGTCAATGAATTTATCACTTTGAATACGTGATGTGCATTTTTAAATAGTTTGATAATCCAGAAAAAGAAGATAGATAAATAGTATTGTAACGATTGTATAACTCTGTTGCAACGAAGGAACGTTGATTACTTATTTGCTGTGCATATTCCAATTGGCAAGGTAACCACGAGAAGACAAAATTATGGAAAAATACTTGTAGCTACGTTAACGACAAACGAGTTTTTAAACAACTTTGATAAGATTTGAACTCCGCGCGTACGTAGTGCATTTCATACATTTTAAAAGTAGAATCGACCTTGTTATACAGCTTCGAATAGCAATAAATTAAAAAGGTGGTGCGCGAAAATATTGTCGCAAAAGTATTATCCGCAGTCGAAACTATTTTGATATTGATGCGCACACACCATATCAATCGAGTGTACACACTATTTGCAGGGTAAAAAATGCTAATTTAAAGAAAAAAGGAAAACTCGAGCTTAGTCGCGTTAAATGCTGAGCACTAAGCGTCTCTCTCTCTCTCTCTCTCTCTCGGAGCTTTACATGCGCGCGCGAGCTTTGACGTTTTATCGGCGACGGAGGCCAAGGCTTCGGTGACGTGTTGCCGAGCACTCGAGACCCGCCGTTCAGATTATATTTGCTGCATGGAACTCATCGTTTTGCAAGTCTGTTGTACCGCTGATCTCCGCTTTTCTGCAAACCGATAATGAAATCCACGATCAAATACGTATCCGACAGATGTTGCCCAGTATTTTCTTTTTTTCCTAATAAACGCACGTGTATTTTTGGCGTAAAATCGCTCCCTGCCGATTGCAACACTCTCAGAATGTTGTGATAGTTATTCATAATTTTGTTAATAGCAAAGTCTAGCGCACACATTCGCACAGGTTAAATGCGTCGTAAGTTTCAGTCATATCGTGACATAATTACATAATCGGCAAATGACTTAACGTCCTTTATACGGAAAGTCAACTAGTTTACGTAAAATTTGAAATCCTATATACCACACACTCGCTTCGCTATTCGCATAACGTATGTTTGGGGAGTGAGAGGGGCGGGGGGGGGGGGGGGGGGGGTATTGATACGTAAAAGAAAAAAGAACAAGCATCAAAATAAAAGTGCTGCACAATACAAGACAATCATCAACGTGTGCGCGATAAAGAGGCGCGTGAGGAAGAGAGAGAGAGAGAGAGAGAGAGAGAGAGAGAGAGAGAGAGAGAGAGAGAGAGAGAGAGAGAGAGCGAGGAGGGGGGAGAGAGTAGCGCATTCACAACGAGCAGCTAAATATAAAGAGCGCGATGACGCTAGGGGCGACCGTGACCGTGAAGGATTCCGAAAACTATCGGGAAAAGCAGGTGTGTGCGTGTGCGTGTGTGTGTTTGTGTGTTTGTGTGTGTGTGTCGCAAGTGCGCGCGCGTTTCACTCTCCGTGTGCGCGCGAGTATAAACGCGCGAGCGAGCGCTGCGTTCCGAGGTCGCCCGTGAATATTCCTTTCTTGCGAGCGCCAAGCGCGTCCTTGCGCGAATTGATGTGCCGAACGCTTCCGGTATGCGCGATGAGCGACGCTCGCGATCTTTTTTTTTTTTCTTCTTTTTGTTCTCGCTTGATTTCGCTCTAAAAACGCTTTTGCACGCGACCATTGGCTAGCGACAAATCTGATTAGTTGAATAATTATGTCAGTGTGTTACGAAGACGAGTCGCTGATGATAATGCGATTTGAAAAAGTGGGAGTGACAATTGTCGGCATGTTTGTGCGACAAGTTATTTTCCTTTTTTTCATCTAGTAAGTAGGCGAAAAGTTCCGATGGGTCGAGTATGTCGCGCGATATGTCAAGGCAAAGCTTCACTCATGTTTCCAGTGAAAATGAACTTGAAAGTATCGGGGAAAAGTTGCGATGGCTAATAATAAAACATCGCGCCGCGGCTTTTTGAAAGTTCGAACTTGTTATTTTAACATTCAACTTTCTTCTCGCTTTTTGCAAGCATTTGCGAATATTCCATCGTCCATTTGCGCCATTAGTAAATGCAAGAGAGAATAGTTGTTAAAAAAACGAAGCAGATGTCGACACAGAATTGCACGCATGTTTAAGCAGGGTTTCTTTTTCAAATGCATCGGCGGACAAATTATTGATACATGGCTGCTGTTATTAAATAGCGTTCAACTTTTTTACCATGAAATGTCGGTGCTACACCTTGATTAATTTTTGAATATCCTTCAGATTGTAAATACTGACAGTTGATATATTATGAAACGATACAATATCCACTTATTACCAGTTGATAAAATAATGCCGACAGTACTAATGAAAATCTCATGAAAGTTTCAACGATAAAATCTCTCACTGGACATAATCCAGCCGAAAAGCATACCAATCAATAAGTCATTGACGTATCAATAATGTCAATAGCGACAATAAAAAAAAAAAAAGAAAAGAAAAAGACGAAGATGAAGGAAGAGGCGCTGAAAAGCGCAGCGAAGCCCGATCGATATAGACGGTCCGTAAATAAGCGAGGCGCCGTGCGCGCGCGAGAAAAGTGATGCGAAGCGAGCGCGGCGCTCTCGATCTTCGTTGCATTATCGTATTATCGCGCACGGTCACGACAACGCGCGCGAAGCGATAACGCGCGGTGCAGGGCAATCGAATGCCGCGTCGAGCCTCGGATTCCTCGTGTCTCCTCACGCTCCACGGGCTCTCGAGGCGCATCTCTCTCACCTCGCCCAAGGTCACCTCCGCGCGCTTTTATCTCTCGAAGACGCGCGCAACGCATGGCACATTTTAAGCTCGATCGAGAAATCCTCGCCGCGCGCCTCCTCGCCTGAGAACAATGGGGCGGCGCAATTAGCGCGCGCATGCCACCCGAAAGAATAGGCATTATCGTTCCCGACAGCAGCATGAATTAATAAGCGAAACGTCATTGCGGAAGCACGTGCTTCGCAGTACCGATAACCGGCGAGCGCGAAAGCAAGACCCCCGTAATAAAATTGCCGCTCGCTTCTTCTCTTTCTTTTCCCGCTCGCGGAGAAACGACGTGCGTGCTTGCGTGCGACAATGACACAAAGGAGACTGTATAAACGATAAGAGATTATTTTCGTTGCTTTGCGCAATCGATCCTAAATACGCGCGCGATATTTCCAAGCTGCTGTAAATATATACACAAACGCGGAACAGGTACGTGTATATACATGTATGTAACGGACATTGACGTGATGTGATGACCTCGACGAAAAACGCGCGTACAAGCTCAATGTCAGAATCGCTACCGTAATACTCGTACGACCCGCAGGATTGCCATCGGCTCCCATTTGTTATCCTTTACTCATCACGCCATCAGAGGCTTCCTTGTATACACGTGTTTCTTATAGATATAAGCGCTCACCCACACGCGCGCGCTCGCCGATCAAAGGAGCCTTGAACGTGACTCTTTCTCCGCGGGTCATTTGTACGACTGATTTCTCATTCGATGATGCTATTGCCAGAGTTGCCAAAGTTTTTCCCGATTTCACGTATATTTATGTAAGTGGATAGTTTTGTCATTCAATTCTATTTTGGAATTAATGGAAAAGAAAACAATTATTTACAAAGTTTATTTTGTTTTAGCGATGGCTATATAGCTCACTCACGGGTACGACATCTGGGATGCGTGAAAACCAATTATTGGTGACTAAAATACTTATCAAAACAGCAGTCTACAATCGGTATATTAATCATTGACATCAACGAATGCATCAACATTCAAAGCATTCTAATTCGGTGAACATGTCGTTCATCACAGTCGAAATTCGTTGAAATACGTCGCACGTATATTTAAAAATTTCCGTAAAATTTTCAAGATTATCGATAGCAAAAAAGAAATAATTCTACAGCTGGTCGATTATATAAGTGACCTTGAACTTTCTTCCAAATAGGAAAGAGTAAAAACACGGCCGATGTATATTCCATTTTGATTTCATCAATTTTGTGGTAAAAAGACTTGCCGTTGAAGTGCAATCAGGCAGAATTTCAATTAAAATTCCATCAATGGCTCGTAAACGTATGAACGCTTTTCAGGTGAACCTACATCGGTTTGTAAACGCTTAATATTCTTAGGTAGTAGTATGTAGTTAAGAACTTTGTTAATCAACATTCGACAATTACATCTAATTATACGGAATGTTATATTGTGATAGAAAAGTATAGGAGAATGAAGCTCACCTAAGTCAGGAATGGAACTAGTCGGTTCCTCGTGATGTCCCTTTCCTTCCGCGGAGCTCCTGGCTCTGGGTGGAGGTGGTGGGGGCGGTGGTCGCATGCTATTGTTGGAGGTCGAGCTGACAACCACAGACGGCGGCGCGTTACCATTGGCACTCACTGTCCCCGAACTGGTACCTTGACCCTGCTGCTGCTGCTGCTGCTGCTGCTGCTGCTGCTGTTGCTGCTGCTGCCTCTGCTGCTGCTGGCTGCGAGGCGCTATCAGCACCGTTTCGCCCCTTCCAGCGGAAGCTTGATTTTGCGGCTGCTGCTGTTGGGTGACTGGCGGATTTTGATTCTGCTGCGTTTGATTTTGTTGCTGTTGCTGGGTCGGGGGTGAGGGTTGCGGAGGCCTCGGACACCAACCGTGCAGTACGCGGATGGCACTACGCACCTCCGCCTGCAGCTCGGCTGTACGGTCGCGCACGGTGTGAGCCACTTTGGCTGCGGTTATCACCCTCGTGGGGGTGACGGCTCGACTTTCGAAGGGCTTGTCACACAAAATGCACGCACACACTCTCTTTCTCTCTTTCTCTCTCGCTCTCTTCCTCCTCTCTCTCTCTCTCTCTCTCTCTCTCTCTCTCTGTCGCGCACAAATACACTTATGGGTTCCTCAAATGTGCCGGACGCGCGAGAATGTGTCAAAGAGGACAGATTCGCGGAATCATCTTTGAGCGAGTGGCGCTCTTTTTGTCAACACAGTCTTCGGCTGCAGTGTTTTCGAATGAAAAACGATTTCGGCAAAGAAACCCTGTTTTGTCCTGGGCAGCACTGCGCTCGAATCTAGAAACGGCAATAACAACCGAGCATCATAGTCACTGTCACTTTCGACACTACGCACCACTGTCATCAGCACGCGAGCGGCACATGTGCACGTGAGGTAGTATATAGTAGCCTTGCTTGCTCCGTTATACACTTTTACGTATGAGGTTAGTCGGTTTTAATAGCACTTTCGTCGTCGTAGTCGTCGTGATGGGGATTCTCGTGTTTTGGTTTCTTCTCTACAGCTGTCACTCGAACTTCGGAGCAGCGACTTTTATACTTTTACACTTTCCTGGGTTTGTGTGTGTATACAAAAAACGACGTCGTAGATAAATACTTGCGAGACGTCGGTGATGTTTGATTGCTGACAAGATGTATATGTATCGATAAATAAATATATATATATATATATATATATATGTATATGTATATATAGATGCGTAGGCAATACACTGTTATCACGTATATAAATATTATATATCCCTTATTGTTGATAGGCGTGCTTCCCTTATACTCGTTAAGGCTACAATGTATATATGCTTCATTAAAATATATATATATATATTGATATATATGATTGTATGCTTTGTTGTTGTTGTTGTTGTTGTTGTTGTTCGTTACGAAAAATTAAAAACCCTCTATGCATAAAATATACGTTTGTCGCTATGCTTATGAATATATACGGATGCGTTGATATATACTGGTTTGTTTGTGATTGTGTTGAGTATATGATTAATAAAGACACTTGAATAGATCTCTGGTTTGTTCTCGCACTGCAACAAACTATCGTATCGTTCCGCACTGAAACTTATCCGTCACCAAGTGCTGCACAAATTTGGCCGAGTGTGTGGTGGTTCCCTTTGATAGGTGTATCGAACGTTTTGCGTGACAATAAAGATAATTGCTCGTGCAATGCAGTGATATGCGACGAGGATCGGGGATGACAAGAGCGGGCGCGCGAGAAACAGAGCGAGAGCGAGAGCGATGAATCGCCTCGCGCGGCCGAGCGCTCTTTGGGCTTCCCGTATCGTTTCTCGCGGGACGAAAACACACACATTCACGCACACACGGCGAGATAGAGACACACAGAGCTCACGCCGCGTCGGCGGCTCACGGCGCAGTCGCGTTCTCTTCTCTCCCCGCCAGGCCGGCCCGCCAATACACGACCCCACCACCTCTCGCGCGCGCCGCGCCGCTCCGACTCCGCGTAGCCAGCCGTGCACTTGAAATGCTGAGCTGCCCCAACGTTGCGTCTCCACACGAACACGTGCGCGCGCGCGTGTGCGTGAATGCCAGCCGAGTGTGCGATGTCGGTGTGCACGCACGACTCGTAATCCTTATCTGCTCTTCCGTCTCGCTCGCGCGCGGGCTCGGGCTCCTTTTCTCTCTTTTCTTTTTTTCTGTTTTTTTTTTTTTTTTCTTTTTTTTTCCGATGCGTTATTCCTCTCTTTTTTAGACTGCCTGCGTAACTTGTCGATGCTTTCGGGGCTTTCTTTCCGAAGATGCGCTTCGATAGGCCGTAGCTGTGGTGCAATCGACTGTGCGCGACGATCAAAACAGATAGCCTAATGTGCTTATTGATTTCCAACAAAATTATAACACTTATGTCGTGCTCGTCGTTATGTAATAATTCTTGCGGTTACGTACGTCAATGCATTCGTCATTTTGAGCGATATGCAAAGTTCATTTAGAAAAGAATTTTTTTTAATATTCCTAGAGGTTGTAAAACGGATGATTACGGTATTGTATAATTAAGGTTTCTCATGGAAATTGAAACTGAACGACAGAAAGTAAAATGAAATTAGCAACTCCAAGTTTTCACTCGAATTTTCTGTTGAAAGTAAAGTTTTACTTCTTACTCGAGCGTAATGAATCATTTCACTGGTTGATTTTTTTTGTTTTCGGTTGGACTTTTTTTCCTTTAATAGCCTGAGTTTCTATTCGATTCCCATTAGTCGTCGACCTTGTCACTTTTTTATCGGTCACTTTTTAAAACTTTTTAAAATTGTTTCGATCATTGCTTTCTATTTTTCCGAGACACATGGAACCAGCACAAAAACGTGACGTTTTATATAAATTTCCTAATAACGAAAAAAAGCACACCTACTTTACATGATAAAGCACTTATATAAGTATAGTCACAATGAAAAAGGGGCATCAATATGCGCGTACGCATCTCGCAGTCCAGGCGCTTTATTCAAGTGCATCCACAACAATGAAACGGATTTGAAAAGCCGGAAAAATCAAATGAAATTTTTTTTATGTACGAGCGTGGAAGCCTTCGAAAATGGAAAATTGGCGCGTGCGCGAGAGACACGGAGGTTTTCGCGAAAGTGAGAGTTCGTAGCCGCAGGAGAAATTCATCAACTCTCTAAATAGAAATTCGCGCGCGCGTTGTGTTGCGTTTCAAGCGCCGAACGATTAAACAATATTTAGCGTTAATGCAATTCGCGCCAGCCTGAAAATGGCAATGGCATTTTTATGCTGGCAGATCCGAGTTGTATCAATCACACCATAGCAGCAGTTGTAAATATTCCATTGGGAGTGCGATCGGTCCCCACGCAAATTAGATACTATCGCTGGTTCTCGAGTGATTATCAACCGTCGCATGTTGGCCCGATAGATCAATGGATAAGCGGCATATAAAAATTAGTCATTCGAATTCAAGTTCAGGCGTCAGCTACTGCATCATACGGCTGTTCTATTGGTCGATAATAAACAATGCCGTGCATCTGAATGTATAACAAACGCCCTTCGCCTTGAAAAGAAGGCACGATTCCACGACGCACAATGCAGTGTGCTGTGTACACATTACTTAGGTATATACGAATGTTAATGGGGGATGAGCAGCGGACGCACATTCGACGCCGAGCTTTCCTCTCGCGAGGAGCCCGTATAACCACTCGTTTGTGACTTTTTTCCCCTGGTCGCCTCGCGAAGATGCACTCGCGCGTCTCTTTCACTGCGCGTACTGCCGTTTTACGATGCTCCTAATGTTCGCGACCTCTACTCTTCTGAGAGCGCGCATCCTCCAAGGCCAATTTTAATTTTTCGAAATAGCTTTGGCTCCTTCTTACAACTCATTTTCAAGCAAAACTTTCTAGCTTTCGTATTCAAAGTGAAGCAGCCGTTTAACGATTAATAAATGTACAAGTTGGCGAAGCTGGCCGCCGTTATTTCCGGACAAATCAAATTTCTTCAACTCGGCGATAGATTGCAGGCAAAGCTTTGCGATTGGCGTGGAGGAAGACGGGCGGCAAAAAGGCCTCAGCTGGCAAACGAAAAGAAGGCAAATGTCGATAACCCATATTTAATTTGATATTCCACGATGATGGTCGCCGTCGTCGGCGGTGCGGTTCGTATCTCGGCATTGTTTCTCGTCGCGTCGTCGCTCATCGCGGCGCGATAAATATTAAAGTGCGCGCGATAAAGCGTCGCGACCCGTCGACTCCAATTACCCGCTCGCATATAGAGAATGCGTCGCGTGCAGTGTACAATGCACTTTGCATTTTTCGCGACTTATGCTGCTCACGCGTGCCGCTCCGTGTGGGCGCTCTCGATCGCGCGATCTCTCCGCGGGCTTCTGTGCGATATGCGCGCATGCGACTCTGTGAGAAATTAGGGTTTGCACGCACAGTCAAGTTGACGCCGCGAACATTGAGATAGAGAGAGAGACAGATTCGACGGGCTGATACGAGGAGTGACATTGAAATCGATATTTGAAATGCGTCAGTGGTTGCACGCGCGTATTTTCATCAAACAAATATAACGAGCTCCAACTTTTTCACTCTAAATATCCAGAGTGAATCTTCAATGAAGCGTTGCCACGATTCAATAATGCGGCGAGTGCTGAATAAACATTCGCTTTTAATGCTTCGCAACGCAGTGATAATTGCCACGGATACACTCGACGAATATATACATTGTACGGTAAAGCACACAATTTCGTCGCGAATCTTAACGAGCTCTCTTATCTATATCATTGGCCGCATGTATCCACCGGCAAAGAAGAAGAGCGACTTTGGGAAAAGTCGCCTCACTAATCGGATATTCCTTGGAACTCTCGCACGAGCGCGCGTCGCTTGCCGCCGCGCGAAAATTACGATCGAACTTGCCCCCTTGCAGGGGGAAAAGCTGCGCGGTTGCAATGGCAGAGTGCAGGGCTCTCGACTGCAGCTCGGACAGCCCTGCTGCTGCTGCTGCTGCTGCTGCTGCTGCTGCTGCGGGGTAGCGCTAGAGTGCTGCGCAGTCGCGCTATCACCTGGCCTTGTCCTTGAATGCGGCCCGTGAACCCAGCTCGAGCACTCGCTCGCTGCTCGCTCTCCCATCGCAGTACGTGCGCAAGCCTTCTTTCTCCGCGTGCATATGCTGCTGCTGCTGTTGCCGCTGCTCGCTCGTGCCTTTATCGATCAGCCCCCGCAATGCCCCGCCGATGCATACACGCTCCGTTCGCCCGTGGATGCGTATAGATGCGCGCGCGATGACCGCGATTGACGCCTCCCGCTCGTACTGGCGCTTGTAACTTGGCAACTTGGCGCTTCGTGCCCCCTTGGGCTTCAGGATATATATGCACTTTGCGCGTTGCCGCAGAGCTTCGGAGAGGGCTGTGAGCTTCTAATTAATTGAGAGCGCCCACCTCGCAAATCGAGTTTATACAACGATAATGGCCGTTTGCTTTCGGACCGGACGATCAGAACGATAAACCTAGGTGATTTGCGATTTATTATTTTAACGCTTGTTATTTACTTGTCATCTTTATTAGAGGTCTTAAAGGCCAATTTTTCCATTATGGAATTATGTTTTAACTATCCATGACTATCCATGAAAGCTTGACGATTCATCGATCGACCTTCGATAGTGTCGAATAACAAATATTTCAATTGCTCGTTAATGGAAGTAGAACAGTTTTCTACTTTGGAGTAATATCTAAAATAGTTGAGCAATAATCTTCCACTACACGTTATAGTCGACTCTGATAAAGTTCAGATATATTTCCACCGCGGGACATTGTTGTTTCGTCTAATTTCAACTACTCTATGTGTGCGCGTATATATCATCAGAAAAATATCGATCAGGGCGTGAATAATTCAGATGAACGGCTCGCCGTGCAAGTGCATATTTGAGGCTCGTCGCCATGGCCACGCGCGTTACATAACACCATGAAAAGTAGGAAAAATATAATGCACAATGCTGGCCTGGCCGCGTTTATTTCCAGCTGATGCCAAACTAAGCCTCCCTCCGCGCACGCATACACACATGCATCCCCGTCTTACTATGCTTAAAAGGATGTCAAGTTTAAAAATACTCAATCCTGTTTACGCGTACGTAAATAGTGTATACGCGCGCTCAGAGTCCAAGAGCAGTAGCAACATAAGCGCACACATATGCGATATTTCTCTGCCCCGCATCGCAGCAGTAGTAATGGAACGCAATTGTAGACGACGACCAAGTTCCCCCCGTTATGCCTACGAGCAGGGAGAGATCTCGTTCCCCCGACGACTAGAAGTATTAGGCTCGGAACGGGTGTTCTAGGTCGAGTAGAACGGAGGTCAAGGTCTCTCACGCACACTATTCAACGTAGTTAGGGGGAGGGGGGCGGGTGAAAGGGCCGACAGACCGAGAGAGAGAGAGAGAGAGAGAGAGAGAGAAAAGGAGCATTAATGTGTCGCGCAACGCCAAAGCAAGAGAGAATTAGGGATGAAAACCAATCGATATGTAGGCCGAGTCATCCTACTACGCCCCTTTTGTTTTGTACGATGACTTGTGTAGGAGAAAAAAACCGTGACTCAGCTACGCGTGGAGACTGACCTTTGGAAATCCTGGTATCTGTGCATCCGAAGATTTCATTCATTGATGGGAAAATTTTTCCAATCTCTCTCTCTCTTGCTCTCGTCTTTTTCTTCTATGATGCCGTCAACGGCTGTAGCGCGTTTATTTTTGAAGAAATTTTCTTGTTTCTTCTTTCTTTTAAAGAATCCTGTGGCGGCGGTTTCGCAGCGACTAAACCGAGCAAAACATTTGCTTGACGACAGATTTCAAAATTCTCAGAGGAACTGTATCTTCTGCGTGAAAACAATATAAATAACTGCCGTGAATTTTATTTATAATAAGTTTTATTCTTTTTTAATGACCGCATTTTGTGAATTTGGCAAAGAGAATTATTCGATGAAAAAGAAAAGTCCCGTGACAAAAGAGTCATTTATTTTATTGATTGAAGCTATTTATGCACATGAAGCATTCGACGCCCGAATCTCTCAATCGCCATATCTGTGATACAATCGAACGCCAGTATCGCACCTTTCAACAGTAAGCAACGGATAAAGAGCTTTTGAGCAGAACAAGTTAAAAGCCCAGCAACGAGGAAAATCTAACTTTCTCGCGTGAGACATCCAAGAGAGCGTGGATTTAGATCTAAAAGGCGCATCGCAGCTTCGAGAGTAGCAGTAGAGAACCGGTCTGCAGATAAGGGGCTCGTTGTTGTATTAGGTAGGTTAGGGTCGGGGAAGCCAGTCTCTCTCTCTCTCTCTCTCTCTCTCTCTCTCTCGAGCATTATATACAGAGCAGACACACGTATGTGCGTCAGTTGAAGATCGAAAATACTTTTACCGCGTCCGATCTCTCATCCACCGAGTGAGCATTAATGAATAGAATTAAAGGTGGCTTTTTGGTGTCGTAACCCCATTTCAATTCTCTATTTTCTTTTTATTCGGAACATATGCCAGTTTGGCCAACTCATTTTACATATATGACTTCATAATTAAACGACGGAATAAAACATTTTTTATGCTTATCAAGAGATATCTTGCGTTCTGTTCATTGAATGTCTGGGAAAATGAGAGAGAGTTGGACGAATTTTCAGTGTTCTTTGTTTCCTCCGGTAGTACCTACGCAGCGTATTATTTTTCGTAGAAAAAAGTGCATTATAAAAGAGCTGACGATAGACATCTGGCACTATAATACAAGCCAAGAAGCTATATTCCTCGTGGCGATAGGAGAATCATCGTCGCATAGGGGCGGCGTGTATATAGAGAACGTGGAAAAACACACTGCCGCGATATGTAGAAGACATACGTATGAATGTAACGAGAGGGAAAGAGAAAAAGAGCATATGTATAAACGTATGTGTGTGGAGTCGGTTTACATTTCTCTCTCCGGGGTGGTCGTATTCGTTCAACTCATCGCCATCGTCACTTATTCTCTTTTCTCGTATATGCACTTATATGCACTCGAGTTCACCGTCTGCGTATTTAACTGCTCATGGGCAGCTCTGTGGGTTGCTATGGAATACGTTCAATGCCAGTAGCTCAAAATAAAATTACTGAAGTCGTCAGAGAAATTATTTGATTGCCAAGCAGAAGCTATTCGATTAGGGATGACGTGAAATAAAATTACTTAATATTAAAAAATTTAGTTTGCTCTGTACATTGTACTAAGATACATTTAATAAAATTTTCAAAGGAAACTCTACTCAAAATAATCACCTGCTATAAGTCAATAAGGATTATCTTACTCGCTACTCTCTTGCAGTCGGCAGGTGATGTCCTTCAATTTTTACTTCCAACATGGCTTATTCATAAAGATTCATAAAACCTTCTAATTTTTTATACTGAATGTTTTTTGGTCGCCTATACTATGATCATACCAATTAATTTTTTTATCGTGCTTGCCACATAAAATCGCATCTTCTATATATATACTGATTAGGTACAAATATCATTCAGTTAGAAAGTTGACTTCCTAACTGTTCCCTAAAGTTGACTTTTTTTCTGCTCTTTACACCAATAACCATTTGACATTGTTGATTGAATATTTTTACGACAGAAATAAAATATGATACGTCGAGCACGGAGTATTAATTTACATGCATATTAAACTTAACACTCGCTCGGTATATCCCACAATGAATTCCTCAGCACGTAAATAATCAAACGAGAAAGAGAGAGAGAGAGAGAGAGAGAGAGAGAGGACTAAAAAGGCAGTTTCAATAAACGCTTGCGGGATATAATTTAATTATAACGCTTAATCTTTCTCGCGAGAGAGAGGGAGAGAGAGAGAGAGCCTCACGCGCTTGAGAACGATCTTGGAAAGTCAGAAGGGCGTGCGCTTCGAAACGAGGCGACTGGTTCAAGTTCACGTGTGCATCTCACTCTTTCAGAGTCGAGACTCAAGGCCGCCGCTGCCACAAGAAAGAAAGCCTTCCTCGTTCGTTCACTACATATGCATATACGATGGTCCGTTGCATCTCAGTCTCTCTCTCTCTCTCTCTCTCGCTCTCTGCTTGCCCACTGGCGAATATATACGCCGGGCAACCAGATATCGGCACAACGGAAATAACTGATCGAGCGGTGTGTTTAATGGCGAGTGCATACGGTCTACCGGAAATTAATTTCATTCTTTTTTTTTCGCCGATTTCGCTGTGAATGAGGGTTTTGTTGTTCCCGACGTTTGGGAAAACAGAAATATTTATACGATCAGATAAATAACGATTTATTTGGAAATTTAGCTAAATTATGATTTAATTGGAAAATTTTTGTTTTTACACGGTTTCTGTATGTTGGAGTTATTGAATAAACGAACCTACAAAAGAAGAAATATGACTGTGCACCGAAATACATCGAAAGATGCTTAAATTCTATTTTGAAATTCGAAAGAAAGCGATATCTAAAATAGAAAGAAGCGTATTTATTTTGGTAGCTCTGTGCGTCTTTCAATTTTTTTAAACCCACGTGAGACTTTTCCACAGTACTCTACAGGAAAACAGAGAGCGAAGAATTCCAAAAATATATCCACCTCATCAAGTGGATTATTACACAACGAAAAGCCAAATAACCCACTCCCCCCGGAAATACAAGTCATTAATCACTCGAACTATCAGCGTTTTAACCCACACACATGCAGGCAACACCCAGCATCGTGCGATAATGAAGCCGCTACGTAGGCGTTGAATCACAGCACGCACAATTGACAGCTCGAAAGAAAATAAAAATGTGCGCGTCATGCGGGCCGACCTTAAACTTGGTCCACTTTATTTTGGGCGCCGAGGCACTATATAGCGCACGCGCGAGAGAGAGAAAGCTCGCGCGGGGTTCGACGGCCAAGTTCAAGGACGCTTCTTCGCTCGAAATTCGGCGCAACAGAGAACGAGAGACCAGCCGGAGAAGATAATGGTTGTGGCTTGTGCGGTTTCAACCTCCGCTGCAGTCTCTCTCTCTTCGAAAATTAGATGTAATTGATATCTTCGTGCGCGAGGTGACTTTGTTTCGGTTTTGTTTGCAGATGCGGCCTGGAATTTCACGATGTCAAATGTTGGGGGCTATTTCTCTCTTGT